TTTTAAATAAAAAATGTTAAAAGTTGACATTTTTATTTAAAATTTAATAAAATTAACATTCTTAAATAAAAAAATTGTAAAGTTAACATATTTTTTTGCACATTTATTTCTTCACTTTATCAATTTTTCAATTCTAATGTCAGTTATAGATCTTATTAGGGATGGGCATCGGTTCGGTTTGATAAGAAACTAACCCAAATTGACAGTTTTTGTTGGTTGATTTTTTGTGTGAGGTAGTAACTGAAGATCAGACCAAATAACACTTCAGTTATTCAATTTTGACACCGAATTAGTTGCTTTGGTGGTCTTGGTCACGGCCAACTATGTCTAAGTCAAGCTTTCAACGTGAGCGTTTCGGCCAAGGTTTCTAGTAGCTTAGGAAATAGCTTAGGAAAGCTTCACTCGGCTGGGTTTCCTTGAGAAAGTTCCTAAGGTCAAACTTGGCGTACGCTTGGAGATGAGAAAGTTAATTCCCAAGGTCATATGGAACACTAACAGATTATGACGCGTAGTGCGTGTTTTACCAAATATCTTTATTATATTTACATTTAGGGCCTATTTGGTTGCCCTCTAATTCTTTTACTTGGGAAAGTAAATTTTTTTGGTATTTGGTTGCTTATTAGTTCATACAAGAAAATATGTGGATAAAAATGTCAATTATGTAATTTTTTTTTTAAGGATGTAAATTTTGTTAGTTTCTAATTAAAACAATAAATTTTTATTTTTTTTATTTAAGAATATCAGTATTACTTTTTTTTTATTATTATTTAAAGACTAATTGGATGGTGGTAATTGACATAACCTTTGATAATGAATTACTAAAACTTTATTTAATATGGTTGTGATTTTGAGTTTTTGGTTTTAGATTTCAAATTTTAAACAATCAAAATTAACAATTAAAAATAAAAAATTTTGCAACTACTAAAATCCAAAACTAAAAATAAAAAAGAAACAATTTGTTTAAGATGAGTTTTAATATTGATAACAAAAAAAATATATATACTTATTTAATAATATTAAAACTTTTTTTTTTCTAATAATCATGATAATATATTACAAACATGCACAAAAGCACCAACGAGTAGGTGGATGAGTTGGTAGAGAACTTTTTTAATTTAATCAGAAGTCTTGGTTTTAAATTCTAGGAATGCAGCTCTGTTAAAAACT